CCCCTCCCTCCCACTCTCACCAGCATCCCAGCACACCGCCCCCTCCGCCCCGATCGCCTTATTCTCTTGCACAGCTGTGCTCTAGAGCTCGGACATCTTTATTTTCGTCGTTCGTCGTGTCGTTCGCCCCCCTCGCTCCCCCCCCTGTCCACGCTTCCCAGGGTAGCCCCCCTGGGCCACGGAACCCTTTATTTTCGTCGTTCGTCGCGTCGTTCGCCCCCCTCGCCCCCCCCCGCCCCCCTCGCCCCCCCCCCTGTCCACGCTTCCCAGGGTGCCCCTCGTTTTCCCCTGTCCACGCTTCCCAGGGTAGCCCCCCTGGGCCACGGAACCCTTTACTTTCGTCGTTCGTCGTCGTCGTCCCCCTCGCCCCCTCCCCGTCCCCCTCGCCCCCCCCCCTGTCCACGCTTCCCAGGGTAGCCCCCCGGCTCTTGGGGAACCACTGAGGCACTCTTGGCCGAGGCCTAGAAACAAAACCAGGCCAGGCCCCAGAAATCGTCGTCGTCGTCGTCGTCCTCCTCCTCCGCTTTCTTCCTGGATCCTCCTAAACCCCTCCTGGAGGAAGGAGGCGAGGGCCTCCTGTCCTTCGCAGCTCCTTTGTGCAAGAGCCAGGGCACGCGTGCCACTTGTTTTTCGGGAACAGTGATAAACCGCTCCCCGAAGGGGAAGGGGTGGAAGAGGAAACACCCTAAACCACCTACGCCCTAAAGGGCTGGTGAGATTACGGATTTCCGCCGCCGAGCGAGGCGGCACCGGCCGCATTTTGGGGAGGGCACCTCCCCCGATCCATGTTCGCGCGCCCCCGACCCTCTCCGCCCCGGCAGGGAAGAAGGGAATCGGCCTAACTGCGACGTTCCTTTTCCTCCGAGTTTCTCAAGTGCCTTGAGCCTGGCGACGACGACGACCACTCAAAAGACAAAGCGTCTCATACAGGCCGACAGGTCGGTGGATTTTTCTCAGGGTCACTTAAGCATCCATTGAGGCCCTCCAGGGCTTCTGTTGGGCTCTCCTAGGGAGCATTCTGAGCCTGCAGCGCGTCTGCTGTGCATCTGCTGTGCTTCTGGTGTGTGTGTGTGTATGTGGCATTCCTGGCCTTCTCGGAACCATCCTGGAAACCATGGTTTTAAAAAGAGGAACCCATTGTCGCGCCGGTTCTCTGGAACTTGAAACTCCCCCCTTGAAGCCCCCCCCCATGGCGGTTGGGGTGCCCTTGGGGGCCTTCGGAGCTGTCATTAGTCTTATGCGGGGTTTTCTTGAAGCCATGCAAGGCCACATTGGGTCCCAGGATGCAGTCGGGGGCGAGAAAGCGAGAAGTGAGCAAACATTAGCAATGTCAGCGGGGTTGAAATAGTGCTGGGTATCTTCGGGGCAGCTTTGGGAGATTATATGGCAGCCTATCCGGCTGCCCAGAGTAACATTGGAGCTGTATCGGGCCATGTGGGCGCGCGCGCGAGAAGAACATTTGCTTACGACTGGCTTGTTTCCACCGCGTGGCTGGGCACAACAAGTGGTATGACATGGATGTTTGACGATTGACAAAAGGGTCAGGGGAGGGAATAAGAGGAAGCAAGTCGGTTTGGGCCCCGTCATGCCCCCCATGTCCCAGTGAGATTCATAATGATGTTCAAGGGTGTGAATAAAGGAAAAGGAAACGAGGAGGATGAAGAGACGAATGAGAGGGGAAATATGGAAGCGGAAGCAGCAGAATATGAGGATGAGGATGAGGACTAGGACGAGGACGAGGACGACGATGATGATGATGATGTTGATGATGATGATGATGATGATGATGATGATGATGATGATGATGATGATGATGATGATATTGGTGATGATGGTGATGACGATTGATGATGCTGATGCTGATGATGATGCTGATGATGGTGGTGATGATGCTGCTGATGATGATGCTGCTGATGATGACGATGATGGTGGCGGTAGTGATGCTGCGGATGATGAGGATGAGGACGACGATGACAACAACGACGATGCTCATGATGCTCATGCTGGGAAAGGCGTGGCTAGTTGAGCAGGAGGTATACGGAGGATGAGAGAAGGAGGAGGAGCTGGAGGAGGTTTAAAAAGAAATACGGCTAATGGAGGATCATGGTTGTCGATGAGGATGGTTTGGGAGACGGGCTGATGAGCTCGGGCTGGGGTCAGGAATCAGGAGCTAGGAAGCAGCAAGTGGAGCTTGATGGAGGAGGAGGAGGAGGAGGAGGAGGAGGAGGAGGAGGAGAAGAAGGACATCGTGGTTTGTTTCTTTCTCTGACGCGTCGTGCGCTGTCCAGGGAAGGGTGGTCGAAAGTTTTGTTTTCTCCCCCTCCATGTTCCCCTCCGTACCGTCCCCCATTTCTCGGTTCCCTTCTGGAAGTTCTGGCCTTCGGCTCCCTCAAGGAAGCTCCTGCCAGGCGATTAATGTCGGTGAGTGAAGGGGATAAGGAGAAAGAGGAGGGAGTCTTAGTAATACGAGAAGGGGACGAGGATCGTCTGTGTGTGTGTTGGAGAGAGAGAGAGAGAGAGAGAGAGAGAGAGAAACGTGCACGTCAGAGTTGCATTGGTACGACAGTGAAACAAACGCAGCTCCGCAGCTCCGCTGTGAAACACGTGTGTCGGACACTAAACGTTTTGTTGTTGTTGATGATGCTGCTGATGCTGAGGATGATGAGGATGATGCTGCTGCTGATGATGATGATGATGATGATGAGGATGAGGGCAAGGATGATGCTGATGAGGATGCTGATGATGAAGCTGATGCTGCTGATGATGATACTGATGTTGATGCTGATGACGCTGAGGATGATGGTGATGATGATGCTGCTGATGATGATGCTGATGATAATGATGATGATGACGATGATGATGATGATGCTGATGATGATGATGACCATGATGATGATGATGATGATGCTGATGCTGATGCTGATGCTGATGATGATCATGCTGATGATGATGATGATGGTGATGATGATGATGATGATGATGATAATGAGGTTGATGATGATGATGATGATGATGATGATGATGATGATGATGATGATGATGATGCTGCTGATGATGATGATGATGCTGATGATGATGATGATGATGATGATGATGATGATGATGATGATGGTGGTGGTGGTGGTGGTGGTGGTGTGATGATGATGATGATGATGATGATGCTGATGATTGTGATGATGATGTGATGATGATGATGATGATGATGATTGATGATGAGGAGAGGAGGAGGAGGAGGGAGGAGGAGGAGGAGGGTAGGAGAGGAGGGAGGAGGAGAATGAGGAAGAGGAGGAGAAGAAGGAGAAGGAGGAGGAGGACGACGAGGAGAACGATAAATCAGAGACGCAAACGGAGTTATAGGAGGAGGATGAGGAGGAGGAGGAGGAAGAGGAGGAGGAGGAGGAGGAGGAATGTGAGGAGGAGCAGGAAACGGATGATGATGAGGAGGAGGAGACATTTGGAGGAGCGTGGACGAAGAGGGTTTAAGAGGAGGAGTGGGGAGGGTGTTTGGGCTGGATGCTTGGGTAGGAGGGTTCATGAAGGGGGCTGAGGAGGAGGACCGAGGATGGGGGTGACGGAGGATGAGGAGGAGGTGTAAGAGGAAGGGGGCGGAGCAGGAGGGAAGATGATCAGGGAGTTGACGATGGAAGGAGTACGTCATCTGAGAAGGAGTAGGGCGGGGCGGTTGGGAAAGAGTATCGGGTTTATGATGGTGGCGGACGACGGTTGCCGAGGATGCCAACGATCTTTTGCCTCTGGTCGCTGGTCCGTGCCTATTTTGGCTCAAGCCAGCCTGCCCCGAGTTGGGGTTGTTTACTTTTTTTGCGTAGCCCTCTTTACCTGAGCGGTGAATCATAGTGCGCACTCGTGCAGAGGATCTCCGCCAGGGCTCGCGTGTGCACCCCGGAGTCTGCCGAGCCGATCCCGAAGCTGTGCCTGCTCTCGGCGGAGTCGCTCGGCCCTCTGCTGCCGCTGCCTGGCGCAGCCTCGACGACGGCACCGGCCAGAGGAGTGCACGGACACCTCTGCGCCGGCCGCGTCTCGACGACGGTGGCTGCGCTCTTCGTCGTTGGAGCTGGAGCAGCGGCTGCCCTGGTGCTCGCTGGGCGGGGGGCACCAAGTGTGCGAGCGCAGCTGTCGGGCTCGGGGCCGCTGCTGTTAGACGAGGACCGCTGGGCAGCAAGCGGCTCTGAGATGGCGGCGAAAGTGCTGGCCGTTGCGCCGGCCGCGCTGGCGAGGCACAGCCTCCCCTCCCTGCTTCCCGTGTCACGGTCGGCCCTCGACGAGAGCATCATCGGGTCGAAGTTGGTGGTGGAGCCGCTGTTGGCAAACAGAAGCAGGAGTGCTGAGGAAAATCGGAAGTGGGAGATAGGAGACTGTGTGATCAATGCGCTCATTGCCGCGGAAAAGCTCGCGCAGGCTGCCATGACCATCGAGAGCGCGGTGCACGCATGCAACCCCATGGATCAAAACAAAGCGGCATGCGCAGGGGATGTGCTCGGCATCTACGCCACCTTCTCGGCTGTAGCCGCCTACCTTTCAGGCGTCGCCTCAACTTGCCCTGTCCCAGTCAATGTCCAGGCCATGTGTGCAAGCGATATAGCGGACATCAATTACGGCATTGGCACGCTGGGCTCCGCGCTCGCTACAATTAACATGACCTGCGAGCCCGGGGCCACAGAGGAGAGGGAGCCGATCCCCGAAGACCGCAAGTCCAACGCAATGGGGATGTGTGTCATCAACGCGGCTGAAGCCGCTGCTTACATCGGGCATGCAGTGCTTAGCATCAGGGCATCTGTTCATAATTGCGCTCAGGTTGCCAGGGATGCGAGAGAGGAGCGCGACATTCGGTCGACGTGCTCGGCAGACATCAGTCAGGTCTTGCAGTCCTTCTTCCTTGTCATGGCGTACTTGTCCAATGCGGCTGCTCTGTGCGGGGACACGCTGATCGTTGGTGCGGCATGCTCGAACAGGGTCCTGTCTGTCTTGGCGGGTTTATCGGAAATCGCGGCAGGGGCCAGCGGCGCAGTTGGCGACTGCGCCAAAGTTCCCTCCATGGTCGTCCCCTTCGGCAACAGTAACAGGGACAGGGGCGCGCGGTGATGAGACCGCCGCGATGGCGGGCTTGGTTTGCTCGACATCATTGAGGCCGCCGTTGGGGCAGCACTGCGACTTGGGGCTCGCGACGAGGCTGTCAACGAAACGCCTCGCCCACAGCGACAGAGCAGAGTGGCGCGATGCAGAGTCATTGTGTCCAACTAGGCTAGGAGTCTTAGCTCAATGGCCTCGAGAGCGGGTCGGTCCAGTGTAAAAATTTGCCTGACGAAGGACCCACGAAGCGAAATCTTGGGTGGCGTTGACGCATGCGGCCTGTGCCACTGGAGCCTTCGGTGGAGCTCCCTATGGGGCCACGATTTTTTTTGTCCTGGGTGGCTTTGACGCATGCGGCCTGTGCCACTGGAGCCTTCGGTGGAGCTCCCTATGGGGCCACGAAACGATGTCCTGGGTGGCGTTGACGCGTGCGGCCTGTGCCACCGGAGCCTTCGGTGGAGCTCCCTATGGGGCCACGCAACGCTGTCCTGGGTGGCGTTGACGCATGCGGCCTCTGCCACTGGAGCTTTCGGTGGAGCTCCCTATGGGGCCACGAAGCGTTGTACTGGGTGGGTGGAACGCAGGGAGGTGACGAGGCGGATGGGAGGCGGGAGGAGGGGGAGGAGGAGGAGGAGATGAGGAGACGCGGGGCGCTGTCTCTTCAAAACGAGGACCCAACACCATATGATGGTTGGGAAACATTGCTTATGGTCGCTGGTATTGGCGTCGCTCATCTGTGTCTCTTGAATATGTTAAGACGCCTTCCGAATGTTGAATGCTCCAAGAGCGGCCTTAGTAAGGCTTAGTAGGGGCACGCGTTTCTTGACGCCCACAGTCCAATAGTCCGACAGTCGAACACAACACGTGTCGCAGTGTCGTCGCAGGCGCAGGAGGATGGGGAGGAGGAGGAGGAGAAAGAGGATGAGGAGGAGGAGGAGAAAAGGACACAGACGAGGAGGTGATGGAGGAGAGGGATGAGGATTATTCTGAGCAGGAATGAGACTGAGGAATCGCAGTACGAGGAGACGGGGAAGGGGCTGAAGGGGAAGAATACTGGAAGGGAAGGTGAGGGGAGGGGAGTCGGATGAGGAGGAAAAGCAGGAGGACGAGGAGAATGAGAAGGAGGAGGAGTACGAGGAGGAGGCGGATGAGCAGGAGGAGGAGGAGGAGAAATGGACGATATTGTTGATGATGGTGATGATGCTGCTGCTGATGATGATTGTGTCGTTGATAATGCTGATGGTGATGATTATATGATGATGCTCATTCTGATGATGACGATGACGATTCCGATTATGATGATGATGATGATGATGATGATGATGATGATGATGATGATGATGATGATGATGATGATGATGATGATGATTAGAATGATGACGATGATGCTGCTGAGGTTGATGATGATGATGTTGGTGACGATGATGATGTTGATGATGATGTTGATGGTGATGGTGATGCTGCTGGTGATGATGCTGTAGTTGGTACTGATGATTCCGATTCTACGATGCTTCCGATGGTGATGCTGCTGCTGATGATGATACTGGTGATACTGATGATGATGATGATGATGAAGCTGATGATATTGATCATGCTGCCGATGCTGATAATGATGATGGTGATGATGCTGGCGATGCTGACGATGCTCCTGCTGATGATGATGTGCCGCTGATGATGAGCATGATGATGCTGAGGATGATGGTGATACTGCCGGTGATGGTGGTGATGATGATGTTGTTGTTGCTAATGGCAGTGACGATGCTGCCGATGATGATGCTGCTGATGAGTATGGTGATGATTATGATTCTGATGATGATGATGGTGATGCTGGTGCTGGTGATGCTGCTGATGATGATGATGCTGATGATGATGTTGATGGTGATGCTGATACTGATGCTGATGAGTATGGTGATGATACTGAGGATGAAACTGGTGATGCGGATGACGATGACGATGATGATAATGAGGATGTTGCTGATCTGATGAGGATGGTAATGCCGATGATGCTGATGATGATGCTGATGATGATGATGATGGTGCTGATGATGATGCTGATGATGATGATTATGCTGATGATGATGCTGCTGATGATGGTGATAATGATGATGATGATGGTGATGTTGGTGATGGTAATGATTCTGCTGATGATGGTGATGATGCTGATGCTGATGCTGATGCTGATGCTGATGCTGATGCTGATGCTTGTGCTGCTGCTGTTGTTGTTGATAGTGAAGATGATGATGATGCTGATGATGATGATGATGATGATGATGATGATGATGATGATGATGATGATGCTGATGCTGATGATGATGATGATGATGACGACGATGAAGATGAAGATGAAGATGAAGATGAAGATGAAGATGAATCTGAAGATGAAGATGAAGATGATGCTGCTGATGATGACGATGATGATGATGCTGATGCTGATGCTGCTGATGATGATGCAGATGATGATGCTGATGCTGATGCTGATGCTGCTGCTGCTGATGATGATGATGAGGAGGAGGAGGAGGAGGAGGAGGAGGAGGAGGTGGAAGAGGGGGAGTCCTGCCCCCCTCTCTTCTTCACTCCCTTCCTATCCCGTCCTCCCTCGTCCCCTCGCTCCTCCTCGCACTGCGTTTGATAAGTACTCGTACCGTTCCGTTCTCGCCCTGCCAGCCAACAGGAAGCGGACAGCGTGGCGCAACAGCCCGGCTTCGTGGACAAGCTGCCGGCCGCCGTGTCGGGCGCGTGGGAGGCCATCGTGAACTTGTTGAGGACCGCCCCCGGGGGGGAAGTCGGCCTCGCACGAAAGGGGCTCAGGTCTGCCTCGCTCGAGAACGCGAAAACATTGATTCAGGCGCGTGGATCAGCGACGGGTGCCACTTGCATGCGAAATCGACTCGCTCCATCGCCAAGTGAGGCGCCACTGGTTTTATGTTTCGAGGGGTACCTTCCCTGGAGGGTTTCTCCGAAGGGCTCACTTAGGCGACCCGTCGTCCTCCTCCTACTCCTCCTACTCCTCTCCTCCTCCTCCTCCTCCTCCTCCCCCTCCACCTCCTTCGCCTCCTCCTCCTTCTCGGGTCGCCTACCCCGGGGGAGACTGTGCAACCTTCCCTGGTTCCAGGATCTTACGCCCACGCGCCAGATCCACGGATCCAGGCTGGCTGCTTGCGAGCCTGACACACGCGTGCCCGATTTGCAGGCAGCCGGGCTGGACTTCTTCCTTTGCGGCTGGCCGCACCAGTGCCTGGAGGGTTTCTCCGAAGGGCTTAGGCGACCCGTCCTCCTCCTCCTCCTCCTCCTCCTCCTCCTCCTCCTCCATATCCTCCTCCCTCCTTCTCCTCCCTCCTCCTCCTCCTCCACCTCCTCCCCTCCTCCTCCTCCCTCCCCCTCCATCCTCCCTCCCCCTCCTCCACTTCCCCCTCCTTCCCCTCCTCCCCTCCCCCCTCCTCCTCCTCCTCCTCCTCCTCCTCCTCCTCTTCCTCCTCGTCCTCCTCCTCCTCCTCGGGTCGCCTACGGCCCCGGGGTAAACCGTGCACCAGTGCCCCATTACGTCGGCGAATGCCTTTTGCTCTCAGCTCTGCTGGCCCTTCCTGCCAGCTATATTAACGCTTCGCGTATCCCGACCATCTGATCCAGAAACGGTTTCTTGGCGATCGGGCGTGAGAAGAGTAGTGGGAAGGGGCAACAGAGAAGCAAGGAGCAGCGTGACCGTCGAGGCCTTTTTGGCGCCATCTTGAAGCTTTTTGGGGGTCCTGTAGATGCTCTGTTGTTGGGGAACCTGTCGGGCCCATCCTGGGGGCCATCGGTAAAAAAAAGGGGGATCCGAATTACCGTCGTCCCCTGGGAACTCAAAACGTCGTATCTTGGGGCTCCCTTGGGGCCCTCTTGGGGTGCTCTTGTGGGCCTTTGGGGCCAATTGGGGGACCACCTGGGAACTTTGACCATCTTGGGGGCCATCTTGATGCCCAGAAGCCTAGGAAGGGGAAAGGTGAGAAGACAAATGCCATGAAATGACCTTAGGTTGTCAGACGATGATTGTTTTTTTGGGGGGGCATCCTCGGGAGGCTCTTTTGGCCACCTCGGGCCGTCAGCGCCGGACTCGAGGCCTCGGCAGGGAGTCGGTGTCGGAGGCCCGCGTGCCTCGGTGGAAGCCAAGCCCTACTCCCGGAGATCCGCGAGCAACAGCGGGCCGCTGCTTGCACAAGAGCTGGCCTGGAGGCGGGGCCCGTTTCGACCCGATCGTTCCGAGTCCGATTCGCTATCGATTTCGGCCGCCCCGATCCGATTCGATTCCGATGCTCCGACGATCCGAAGCGGCCCGGTGCTTGCATAGCGATGCTGTGCAACCTGGCGCAGCCGATGCGATTCGATTGAAACTCCATGCAGATGCAGCCCGATCCTACGCAAACTCCGCTTCCATCCGATGTTCCGATTCGATGTTGACTGAGGTTGCCTGGAGGTCGCTCGACTGGGCGTAACGAGACAACCGTACACTGGCAGAAATTGCCCTGGCAGAGCTGCTAGGATGCCAGCCAGGGATACTGGCCGTGGAGGGAAGGGTCCTTCGCCTGCTTCTGGGGGTCAGCCTGTGTGGGGTCAGGAAAAAGTAAGCTCAATTTCGCTGATTTTCCGGTTTCGGGGTCGCATTTTTATCAAGAGCGATGCTTCCTTTTTTTGTCCCTGGGCAATTCCTCTGGAAATGCTTGGCCTAAGCCGGTGATCTTCTCAGAAAGTCAGCTGTCCTTAGTTTGCCCTTCGCGGACTCCGACCCCCAGTAGTCACACCCCCACTGCCAGGCGAGCGAAAGGGTTCCTGAGGGAAGGAGGGAGGAGGAGGAGGAGGAGGAGGAGGAGGAGATGAGGAGGAGGAGGAGGAGGAGGAGGAGGAGGGGGAAGTCAGTCTTGGCCCCCGGGGCTTCCCCGGGACCAGCTCTTGACTGCCCTGGGCTCGCGGAGGGCCCCGGGGGCCCGAAGACCGCGGAAAGCTTCCAGGGCCTTCTCTTCTCGTGAGAAGTGCAAGGGCGCCCTCGAGGGCGCGAAGTTATTCGCGCTTCGCGCTTCGCGGTTCGGCTCCGATTCCTCATCCTCCTCTTCTCCCCTGGGAGGCGGCGCGAGAGCGCGAAGTTACTCGCACTTCGCGCTTCGCGCAGCGCGAAGCGCGAAGCTGGGAGCCCTTGGAAATGACCAAGGGGGATAGGCTCAGGGGGGACTGCGTCGGCCCCCAACCGTCCATTCATCGCCGAGGGGGGCCCAATTAGCCCCAACCTGCCCAGGAACCATGCGGGTTTGCCATCGGGGGCCTGTCGCCGATCTATCGGGGAGGCATCGCCGATTCCAGGCCGATCGTTCCCCCCCCCCCGTGTGCCAGTCTCCCCCCCGTCGCTGCCCCTCCTTTCCTCCAGGGCGAGGATGCTGAAATCATGCCTCCAGCAGGAAGGGAGTTTGGCGCGGAGGGGGGCGGCCGAGGGCGCCAGACCTCCTGATGCCTGGACGTGTTCCGCTGCAGAGTCCCCGCAGCTCTGCATTATGCTTTCTGCGAGCCCGTTGCCCGTACCGCGTCGTTTTCGGACGGGCCCTCGTGCCCGAGAGAGACGAGCAGCACACATTCGTCCCGATGTTCTCCAGGAGGGGGCCTCCTCCGCCCGCCAGGTCCCTCATGAACCTGATCCCCGCGGCGGTGCAGGTGCTGAAGAACGCGCGCCGCGAGGCGCCCCCCCCACCTCCCCCCGGGGGTCGGTGCTCCATGGGAGGGAGTAGCAGAGCGCCTCCTTCTCAGCCTCCTCCTCCTCCTCCTCCTCCTCCTCCTCCGCTTTCTCCTCCTCCGCTTCCTCCTCCGCTTCCTCCCCCTCCTTCTCCACTTCCTCCTCCTCCTCCTCCTCCTCCTCCTCCTCCTCCTCCTCCTCCTCTGCTTCCTCCTCCCCCTCCTCCCTTCCTCCCCTCCTCCTCCTCCTCCTCTCCTCCCTCCTCCTCCTCTCCTCCTCCTCCCCCTCCCCACTTCCTCCTCCTCCATCCTCCTCCTCCTCCTCCTCCCCTCCTCCTCCTCCCCTCCGCCTCCTCCCCTCCTCCTCCTCCTCCTCCTCCTCCTCCTCCTCCTCCTCCTCCTCCCTCCTCGTCCTCCTCCTCCTACCCTCTCCTCCTCCTCCTCCTCCTCCTCCTCCTCCTCCTCCTCCTCCTCGCCTCCTCCTCCACCTCTCCTCCTCCTCCCTCCTCCTCCTCCTCCTCGCCTCCTCCTCCTCCTCCTTCTCTCCTGCTCCTCCTCCCCCTCCTCCTCCTCCCCCTGCTCCTCCTCCTCCTCCTCCTCCTCGTCCCCCTGCTCCTCCTCCTCCTCCTCCTCCTCCTCTCATCCTCTTTTCTCCTCCTCCTCCTCCTCCTCCTCCTCCTCCTCCCCTCCTCCTCCTCCTCCTCCTCCCCTCCTCCTCCTCCCTCCTCCTCCCCACTCCTCCTCCCTCCTCCCTCCTCCTCCCCCCTCCTCCTCCTCCTCCTCCTCCTCCTCTCCTCCTCCTCCTCCTCCTCCTCCTCCTCCTCCTCCGCCTCCTCCTCCTCCTCCTTCCTCCTCCTCCTCCTCCTCCTCCTCCTCCGCTCCTCCCCTCCTCCTCCTCCTCCTCCTCCTCCTCCTCCTCCTCCTCCTCCTCCTCCTCCTCCTCCTCTCCTCCTCCTCCTCCCCCTGCTCCTCCTCCTCCTCCTCCTCCTCCTCCTCCTCCTCGCCGGACGCGGGGGCGCTGTGGAGGCGCTGGAGGCTGGGAGCCCTGCGGCCAGGGATCGGCGGCCAGCCCGCGGGGGGTTGGAAGTCCTCGACCTTGCAGTGGAAACCCGTGCCAAGAAACACCCTGCGTCGTCGTCGTCGTCGTCGTCGTCGTCGTCGTCGCAGACGTCGCAGACGTCGCCCTCGTCGCCGTCGCCGCCGTCAGCCTCCTCCTCTCCCTCTCGCGCATCCGCCTGTACACGCTCCCTGTTGATGCCCCGATGCAAACCAAAGTCGCAGGTCGTCGTCGTCGCCGCTACAGTAGAAACCCATGTCAAGAAACACCCTGCTTGTCTCCAGGGTGCCCTGGGTTCCTTGGGTTTCGAGGGTTTTGCAATTGAAAGCGTGACGATGCTACACCAAAAGTCAGCGGGTGCCCTGGGGTCTCAGGGTTGGGTTTCTTACGGAAGGTTTTGTTGGTCGATTATCCTTGACCTTACGATGGTCCGACTTCTTTTAGCCTTGACCACCCGACAGAATTTCGAGCACCACGAAAAGTACCGGAATGGGAGGCTTTTCACGTGTCGGGCCCTGGGAGGCGGTACTCGGTGGACATCTTGCCAGTGCGTCGGGCAGACACTGTTTCGACACCTCTCTGGGTGCTCGAAAGTAGTTCTGGGATGTAGTCTTAAGTCGGGCTTGTCCCTCTACAGGAGGAAAATTCAAAAACAGTCAAACAATAGTCTGGGGAGGATTTGTTTAACTTATTTTTGGGTATTTATAGATTATTTAATCGCTTCGCTCATTCCGCCGGCCCTCGAGCGCTCTATGGGGCCTCTTTGAAGCCTCTTGGGGGCCTCTTTGGGGCCTCCTAGGGGCCTCCTGGGGGCCTCTTGGGGGTCTCTTGGGGCGGGGTAGTCGAGTGCACCCCCCTCGGAGGCCACAATCCTCGTGAGGGGTGTCGAAAAAAGGCCCTCAAAACCATCTCAGATCCGACCCTGCCGGGGATCGCCCAGGGTACTTTTCGCCGGGGGACCCCCAGGGGCCGCCCCGCGCGCGCGAAGTAGAAGTATTATTTAGCAGTTACCGGAGATCTCAGCACGCCTCTGGCCCGTTGGGCCGGCGAATTTCTGACCATGTGTAACTGTTCGTGGGAATACGCCAGACCTAAATGCAGTCTGTAAGTACAATGGGGACAACATGACGCTTTGACCCTTCGGCCACGCGCAGAGGGGGGCAAGGGGGAAGGGGGAAGGCCTCTTAGAAGCACCCCTGCTTCTCAGAAGGCGCGGGCATTGTCTATGGACATAATCGAAGGAGGAGAAAACACGTAAACATAAACTTTTGGCGCTCCGCGCGGATTTCTTGGATCCGCGCTGGGCCCCCCTGGCGGCGCGGAGCGCGCCCGGGAGGGGGCTCTGGCTCTGGCGCTTTCCCCTGGGGGCCTGCCCCTGCTGCCGCACCATCGTCGGAGGGTCCCGCGGGGGCCCGCGGGGGGCCCCCGAGAGCTCGAGAAGGGCGAAGACCACCGAAGGTACGCTGCCCTCGGGCCCACCCTGTCCTGCATTCGGCGGCGCGCCCGGTGCTCTTTGTGAGAGGGAGAGGTCGGGAGCCTCGAGACGGGGGTCCATGCAAGCGGGGGTCAGCCAGAGCGCCCGATCCTGCAGGATCATGCAGGGCCATGGGTCGCACTGACCCGGGGGTGGGTGAAGGATCCTGCAGGATCCTGCAGAATCCTTCGCATTGACCCGGGTTTGGGTGCAGGTCAGAACATTCCCGAAGAGATGGGGCGGGTTTTCTCAGAAGGCCCGGAAATCCTCCAGCCTTCTGAGGCGTTTCCTGAGCCTGTATACCGAAGGCGCAGAAACCCTCTCGGGCCTTCTGAGAAGCCCCGCCGCCTCCCGGGAAGGCCTTCTCCTCTTCACTTCCCAACTCGCTCGCCGCCAAGAAGAGGTCGGGTCTGCTGAGCATTGCTTTGCGCCGTCTGGTTTCGCCCTCCGCGAGCAGCTTTCGGACCAGTTCGGGTTGTCCGAAGATGACCTTGATGTGCGCACCTGCTTGGCTTTAGGCCCGTCCCCAATATTCATCGCCCCCCCCAAATTGCGAAGCGCTCGCCCCCCCTGCCCCGCCCCCCTTCTGGAACTTCATGATGTATGAGTCTGCTCCAGACCTCGCATCGGCGCGCTTGGAGAAACCTGCCGCTTTTGACTGCAGGTGCTGTATGGATGCCGTCGGAGTGCTCGTTGCCTGATTCTCGAAAAGCACACTGAAAGAACAACAAACAGCTGTGCGCCTCCTTCCGCCGGGCGGCCGGGAGGCCCCCCATCGAGGCCGAGGGCGCTGGCGCCGCCCTCTCTTCCTGTTTCGGCGGCGAGCGCCGCCGTCTGCCCGACCGTACGCCGCAGCCTGCGGTTGGCATCCCGATTCTCTCCCTCCTGCTCCTCGCCTTCCCTTCTCCTTCTCCTCCTTCCCCTCGTCCTCCTCCCTCTTTCCCTCCCTCCCTCCCTCCTCATCTGCATTCCCCGTCCCCTCCTCCTTCCCTCCCTCATCATCTACCCTCCGCTTCCCTCCTCCTCCTCCTCCTCCTCCTACTCCTCCTCCTCCTCCTCCTTGTCCTATGCGTTCTATTCTCCATCCTCCTCCGTCGTCGGCAGCAGCTTGGAGGGGAGAGGAGGGCGGGCGAAGGATCGAAGATCGAGGGTGTTGCTGAACGCTTTTGGTGCTCGATGAGCCTTCAGCGACGTCTGGATAACGATGAGGAAAGAGGTGGGAGGGGGACATCAGGCAGGGTGAGCAGCGGCATCAGCGGAGGAGGAGGAGGAAGAAGAGGAGGACGAGGAAGACGAGGAAAAAGAAGAAGAAGAGACGAGGAAGACAAGGAGGAGGAGGAGGAGAAGGAGAAGGAGGAAGAGGAGGAGGAGGCGAATGAGGAAGAGGAGGAGGATGAGGCGGACAGGCCGCATGAGGCGCAGGATGCGCATGAGGAGGAGGACAAGGCGGAGGACTGCGAAGAGTGGAAGAGGGTGGTGGGGGATGAGCAGGGGGCGCATGAGACGATACTTAGGGGGTAGGAGGAGGAGGAGAAGGAGGAGGAGGAGGAGGAGGGAGGAGGGAGAGGGAGGAGGAGGAGGAGGAGGAGGAGGAGGAGGAGGAGGAGGAGGAGGAGGAGGAGGAGGAGGAGGAGGAGGAGGAGGACAGCATGAAACCCAGGATGCATCAACCATGCTGTAATATACACGCTTCCGTGCGGGGCCCCCGCCTCGTAAAGTCCCTGCAGGTGCTCCGCTCTACTGCGGCAAGGCTTCTCCTTTGATTCAGGAGGGAAAAAACACACAGACACAATGACTCGCCGATTCCCAGAACATATGGGAAAATATTGGAAAAGTGGGGGGGAGACAAAAGCACAGAAAATATATGAAAATATGGGGAATATGTTGTTTGTGTGTATTTATTTGTGTGTCCCAGGGCCCCTTCATTACTGACGATCACCCATTGGGTCTGCCTCTCAGATCCCTTTCTGTTGCAAATAATCCGCCATCCATCCGTCCAGCGAAATAGACGCGCAACGAGGCACGGTGATATCTTTCCCAGAAGTGTCCAGCGATGCCCTCATCTTGAAAGGGATCTGCCCTTCATCTGTGCAACTGTGGTCATTTGAACGAGTTTCTGTGGAACTCACGTCATCCTGACCCCGGCGCGCGAGGCAATGGCCCAGCCGACCGCCCCCCCCTGTTCCGTTTCCGGCGACGTCTGGGAAATCCAGCGAATCCGGGGAATCTGGCGACGAATTCCAAGCCTGCGCACTCGCGTGAGACATCCTCAGAAAAACCACCCCCGGAGCCTCCCCAAGGAGGCCCTCAGAGGCCCCCCTGTTCCCTTTCAGGCGACGTTCAGGAAATCCAGGGAATCAGGCGAATCCAGGGAATCTGGCGACGAATTCGAAACCGGCGCCCTCGCGTGGGGCATCCTCAGGAAAACCGCCCCTGTAGCCTCCCCAAGGAGGCCCTCAGAGGCCACCCTGTTCC